CATTCTTTGTAGCTTATCATTCTTAGTGGCTCATGCTCCCTGAGTGCTCTTGTGTAGTTTAGTATATATAGGTGTACAAGATCAGACTAGTCCTGTAGTCTTGATCTTGTCTACTCTAGGTAGTCCTGTACTCTTAGGCTCACTCTATATACTCTACTCTTGTCTCACTCTCTCTCTCTGCCTGTTCTGCAAGTTCTGACTACATTCTGGTGCTTGCATTCTGTATTTCTGTTGTGTAGGATAGTTGTAGCCTGGGTCCCCTCACTGAGCCTTTGGGTCCCCTCTATGCTGTTGCTGACACTGTCTCAATTTTCCTTTTCATTAATGCTTTATTATCTATTCTGTGATATCATTACTATTTATATCAGTTCCATCCTTCAGCATCCCTAGTATGTGTGCCCCTGCTGTAGACCTATTTATTATATTACAGGTAGGGATATTCACTGGAAATAATGTCATATTGGCTGAATGAACGAGTGTGATATATATAGTTGAATGAAAATAGTAAACGTATTACTATGACAGCTCCACTCGGCTTGACAGTGGATGTGAGCTTGCAATGATGTGCGACATCATCCTCACCTCACCCACCGCCGACTTCGGCCAACCTGAGATCAACCTCGGGATCATCCGGGGCGCTGGTGGCACCCAACGACTTACGCATCTCATCGGCCAATCACGCGCCATGGAAATCATCATCACTGGTCGTAAAATCAACGCATCCGAAGCAGAAAATTGGGGAATTGTCACACGAATCGTTCCGGAGGGTAAAAACGTAGTTGACGGAGCTGCCGAAATCGCTGGCGTCACTTCACAGAAGGGTGCGATTACGAGGAGGACCACGACGGAGTATGTGAAAGAGGCTAGTAAGCTAGTTCTGCAAGAGGGATTGGCATTTGAAAAAAGGGCGCTCCAAGCGTGTTGGTGGTGACGAAGGGTCGGAAGAGGGGTATGAGTGTGTTTGTAGAGAAGAGGAAGCCAAAGTTCTCGAATTTATGAGCTGAAAAATGATTTATACAAAGCTTGCATCAGCAGAAGGAATAAAGAATTGTGATTTACACGGGTTTACCTTTCTCTGGAGTATGACAGCCAATTATGTGCTTGAAATGTTAGTCCGGTTTCTGTTCCAAAATTGAAATCCTCCAAGCCTAAATTTATTCCTACAAGCACATCGTCAGGCTCGGGTGGCGAAAATGTATTCCTTCCTTCGATACATCCACTGCTAACCCGGAAGGTATCACACATTATACACTTACCACCTAATCCAGCTCAAACCCAAGGAACACACTCTAACACCTGTCATAACTCACCTCGCAAAAGGTGCGCCAGATTGATGCGGTCGAAACTGGTTGAGGGTAACAGTTCCGATGATCTTGCATGATAGGCAGTCCTGGTATTGTTGTTCAACTTGAGTTTGGGCCTGATCTTGATATTGATACTGTAAGGCACCTGGGAAAATACCTTGTGTGAGGTGAGAAGTTGTGTTGGGGGACATGCATATGGTGAGGAGACTAAGAGAAAAAAGAGGGCGTTTGATCGAAATCGTTGGAGTCTCAGTTTGTTTACGTAAAAATACCTTTTTTGGAGAATAAGAACCTACGTGTTCTTCGTCATCACCTTGGCCTTGGAGTTGTGAGCTTTCAGCGACAGCGAACAGATCCGTGCCTTCCCATTGTATTGTCACCAAGACGGGTCCACAATATTGATGTAACATTTGCATGATCCGACTGAAAAGTTCTCAAACTCAGGTGAAGCATAGTCTCAGTTTGCATCGTAATGGCAACATTAATGCCTTATAAAATAGGCCCAAGAAGTATTCTGTCATGTACGATTTCCCTGATGTCAGAACAACCACCTAACTCTAGACTTACCCACCTTCTTCGTGATCGTTCTGATAGCTATGGTGTCGATCCTGGCTTCGTGCAGTTAATCATGTCCGAGACGTTTTTACTGAACTGCTTCGGCGTAGCAGTATTAACTGTCTTGGTCTATCATGCTCGTGCGTGCAGCAATTTCTTGAGCCGAGCTTTAACTGACAGGTATGTTAACTCAAGTTACAACTATGGACAAAGAGGTATGAGTGACACACGGAAGCACACCGGTGCTATTTGCTGCTCACTTGCTGATCAGTCAGTATTTAGGTTAAGTACTTTTGGGTGAGCTTGATTCTCAGCTCCTTGGTTGTCAGATCAGTAACAGTGGTGAAGAGCAACCCATGCAGTTCTACAAGCTTGATTTACTTTTCAGTAAGAGCATCCACAAGAGTATTGTAGAGTGACCTATTCTAACATTAGAGATCTAGAATCGCTACATTGGAGTTGTTGGGTCAACCTCGACCATGCTCTGTACGTAGTTTTTTTTTTTCCACAGAATTTATAAACTATGCAAAAAGAATCAACGTATGTATTTTTATTTCTAGATTATCGTGATAATCAAGACTCTTTGAGGTAGGAGAGGAACCCATCTTTTAATGTCTGTACTGACCTTCAACGCGAGTCCTCTTGTAGCTGTGTGTCGTTCATCCTAACTACTTACACATATTATTGACTTACTAATAAGGCCGAGCAACTTTATGGGCTAGTCAAATATGCAGTAAGCCATCTATTGTCTTTCAATGTTATTACTGTTTAATTCAGTCATCAGGCTTGAGTGCAATTCTGTTTGTAGATTGTAAGGAAATTTGTCCCATTACCATATTGATGATAATCGCAGCATATACTGTAACTATTTGCAGATATTCTTCAAATTCGAGTATTAGCTCTTTATTATCAGAGTAAGTGTCTTAATTTTGAGGATGACATTCCGGCTGGAATTCTTGTTAGACAAGAAGCTCTCAGTCTACCTCAAGGCCTTATTTGCCACAGAGGCGGCACTTGGACTTAGCCTTCTTATTTATATAACATGGTATCAAGACAGTACGACTAAAGCATGATTTTTCTATTTGAATAACATTAACTGAAAGGGCTCAACACAGCTTCAGCAGTGAATTTTGCACAGAATGCTACAACCTGCTTTAGTTACGAACCTCCGAAAGCTCTGGACATCATCTCATGGTGAGTAATTTACAAGGATTATCTGCGTCAGCTTTGACTAATTTTCAGCAGGACCGTTCCTTTAACATTTGGAATGATCTTACTGTGTCTATCTCTTTTCAAGAGTGCAGAGTATTGGAAAATGTCATCCAGATTTAAAGGATTCCATCTTGTTAGGGTGCTTATTCAGGACCAGGTCTTATATTTCAGTTTGTGAGCAGACTTCACTCGCATACAAACAATGGCCTAACAGATTAATACAGTGTAATATTTTGCTGTACAATGCAGCTACTATCAATCAAATTTATGGATGACAGCCCCTTCGCTTCTGTTCTCCTGGGTGTGGCTGGAAGCCCGAGCCTTCTCAGTGTCCTCGGAAGCCATCTTCTTGTCAATCTGAAGGAGGCAGGCGAGCTGGGAGTGAACGAGGGAACCAATTACAGATCAGGAACAATAAGCGGCATTGAATTCGCCGATGGTATGTCCACTTTCTCTCGTATATCGTCAAGCTAGCTTATACAGAACAGGAGCTCCAGCACCATGCTCAAACGATGAGGAAATGTTTACTATATGAAGGTGAACGCCAAATCCCGGCCCAGGATAAATTGCGCTGCTTCTCTTTGAATCTACGATACCCAGCCCGTGTTTAATTGTGTTTTGTCCTTGTTTATTTATTGCCTGATATTATCATAGTTTATACCGGTTCTTACCCCTACGTTCATAGCGCGTGTGCCCATTGTTGTTGATCCATTTGTTATGGCACGAACAAAGATACTTACCAACTAGGAGGCTATACCGGCTGAAATAGACAACGTGATGTTTGAAATCGATTGATAATTTATAGAAATAGAACAAATATCATTATGAAAGCTCCTGCGCATCGCGAGCTTCTGATAACCTACGCAACGGGTTCTCAGGTGGGTAGTTTTGCAGCGGTTCCCTGTTTTCAATATATTAGATCCATGCTCAGAGTAAGAAAATCAGACATCACCTCCGCATGTCCCAAACATCTTCACTACTCTTCCCCAGCCTCCTCGTCGCCCACCACTCCGCTCTTCGTTGTATCCACTTCTCCCGCCTCTCGTCCGGCTCGAGCGAGCGTAAAGTCAGACAGAACTTGAAGTCTTCGAGTTTACGATCGCACACAGATTGGCGGCCGTATCGATAGAGCGATTTGAGTTGGAAGCGAAGCGCTAATTAATACGATGTGAATCAGCGTCAGTAATGCATTTAATCTTATGGACGAACCGTTGCAGGAGAGGAAGTCGTCCAAAACGCGCATGCATCCCGGAATGTCATCTGGAGTCGGATGTATGACTTGTAGCTTCTGCTTCTCTTGCTCTACGGCGGTATTGTAGTCTACGGACATGATGGGATGGGACTCACCAGACCAGAGAAAGTTTCCTGCAGCGGATAAAAACAAGTCACGTGTAGGACTTACATAATAAAGTTCTGATATACTCCGACAATTTGCCTCAATCAGAAACTCTTACTCACACCAGTTGTTTCTTTCACGCCTAGAGCTAAGAGCACAAGGGACGGATCAAAAGAATGAAAGATGTTGCCTGGACCTCGCAGATCTCGACACTGCCTCCCGCTGGTATGCAACCGGTTGACCAGGGCGGTCCCGCATCTGCCCTTGCCTCCATACGTACAACGTGTCCCTATAAAATCCCTGTCGTCGTCTTCACATGCCTAGCCTTTTCACTTCTCGATTCCCATCTTTCTTCCTCCCCCTCTCTCTCAAGCTAGCTCTAACAAGTCCTTCTTTGATATTATCCGCTCCTTTCTGTTAGCAAGAAACAATGGTCAGGCTTAATGGCAGAATCGCCCTTCGCAGCAACAGTTCAGATGAAGACGATAGTAATCGTGGTATCAGGATCCCACGTAGAGTGACCTTCTTTGGTCTGCTTGGCACTACAATGGCTGCACTCAAGCTCAAGGAACAATGGGATGATTGTAATAATTTCTCCTTTGTTCTGTTTTGAATAGTTTGCTGACTCTATTTTAGACCGTAAAGTGCCAACTGAGCCCACTGCGAATAACAATCCTCTTGCTCCACCCGCCTATCGGGATGATGAGTGCGATAGCGAAAGTACCATTGGCCTTGATACCTCAATTAATATGCCAACTCGTACAAGGCGCAAGAAGAGCTGCTGCGTCTGCTGCGGCATGAAGTAAGCACTGTTTTCGTCGATGGTAAATGGACGATTGTTTATGAAAAAATTAGTTGCGGTCTTTTCTGCAAGGCACTTGGTATTGTTATTCTCATATTTACAATATGGAATACAATTAAATTTGCAAAATGGATGATGACGGTGAGGATAAATGGCATTTCCACGTTCAAGTCGTTCTAGCCGTTGACATGAATTAATTGTTTTAGCCTTCTCCGACTGGTCTGGAGAGCATGCCAGAATTCGGTACCTCCCTTGGATGTCTTGATGCTTCACACTTTTACCAGGATAACAAGGATGGCAAGTTCTACTCCATTGCAGTTGGCTCTGAAGTTGAGCACGACGTTGTCGTCGCTGGTGGAGCCGTCGGAACAATCGTCCTAAAGCCAAGTACAAGCCTCGCAGACCAGAGGATCAAAGTCCAGGTAAACGTGCGCACCAGCGATTCCCGCCTGCTCAACAGCGTCGAGGTACACACGCCAGAGTCCAACCCTCTCCCCGCCTCCAAAGTACCAAGCACAAGTTATTTCCAACTCGTGACACCAACAGAGACAGAAGGCGGGCATGACTGCATGCGTTACGATCTCACAGTCTTTGTCCCAACGAACGTTCACACGCTGCGCCTTAACGCTCAATCCGTTGCGCAGGTGAAATTCGAGTTTGATGAGAGCCCGCAAACATTGCGCGAGTTGCAGTTACGCCTGACTGACAGGGCTGCTGCGAACTTAATCTTTCCTTCCGAAGGTCTGGTCGCGGATAATGTCGATATCACCATGCATGGAGGATATCTTGTTGGCACGCTCCCACTTGCAAACAGCACGAGCGTCAACACGTACTCGAGTGATGCGATCACGAAGCTCTCACTCATCACTACACGCTACTCTCACTCGGGCACCAACGAAGACGTTTCCACTGCGCATCTTAACACGGTTACAGGCCTTGGCCGTTCTGATTTTACCTACATCAACGACGCCGCGCGTCCTGTCAGGAGTGAACACACCACAAGTGAACGCGCTACAGACTCCGAGCTCCGTCTTACATACTCTAAGGCACGCTTTAACGGCAAGATCGATTTTAAGGCGCGTTCGTCCACGATGATAAACGTCCAGTCCGACCGATTCGGTGCGGGCTCTGATCGCGACGAATGGAACCGTGAACGCGAGCACTGGGTTGGCGATAAGGATGGAGGGGATTTCCTTAAGGTGTCTTCGCGTGGCTGGGTTGGACTCTATTTTTAATCTAAAGGGACTTTGCGTCGTTCATTCTTAGTTTTCGGGTGTATCTGTCTGAGTACCATGTTGGTTAATTTGATAATTTTTCAATCAATTGAAAAAGCGGTGGTGCGAAATTCACATGGGGCATTTCACAATTCCTTACCTTAAAAAATAACTTACATAATGATAAATATTATTTGAAATTTATTTTCCCATTTTTGACT